ATGTATATGGAAATTTTATTTGATTAACATGAATTTTAGAGGTGTCTAAATTGGGTTGTGGGACGTGTTTGGATCAAACTTGGCCCGACACTGACCCACTACTATTTTGACACGACTCGAATCCAACACATTTTTTCCAACCCGAACTCGACCTTTCTGGTTTCCAGGTTAACCCTACCTGATACATAATTTGACTATGGGAGTCTCGACGTGCAGGTTAGGCATAGCTCGTGCGGTCTTCCGTCGATGAGCGACAGCTCAGGCAAAGTCAGCGGAGCTAGCGGGACGATGGGGAGAGCCAATGAGGCTGTCAGAGACTCGGAGGGATGGCAGTCTGTGGGGAGAACCTAGCCCCTAGGATTTAGCCTAGGAAGAAACGTCGTCGGAGACTCAGAGGGACGGAAGGGCCGTGGGATGGTGGTCGGTGGGCTAGAGAGATGGCGATTGGCAGGGCTGTAGGACACCAGGAAAGACGGACGGTGAGGCCCTTCAGGCCTGGTTGAGTCTCGAGTCGCAAGTGCAATGTGTAGGAAAGAATTATTTTGGGTCAAACAGGGTCAAGCTCAGGTTTCTAGGTCAACCCAAACCCTACCCATTTTTTGAAACGACATGGCTTTCATAGCCCAAACCTGACCCATTTGACAAATTGGTTGACCATAACCTGAAATTTTTGGGTCGGATTTTCGTGTCGTGCCAAATATTGACACTCCTAATAAATTTTGAGATAAAATTTGAATTGAAAACTTTCAGAATTAAACTCAGGATCATCTTAACCCTAATTTATGCAAATGTATAGTAAAACTAATATCTCAACAGGACAAAGTGAATGATACTAAAAGTCGTCAAATTTGAGTCAAAATAAACTCAAATCAAGCACTTGATGCGTAATTAAAAGCTTCATACATTAATTAGATGACCAATTAACCTACAAATTTGGCATGCTCATTGTCGAAGGCTTGATAAGACAAATCCAACGAGCCTAAGTTCACATAATTCTAATTTCATTAAGGCACTTATTTACTTAGAAAATAATTTATGATCAAGAGAATCAATATAGATTGGATAATTGAGTGTTTTAAATATTGGATTAATTTGCCAAAACACCCATTCCAAAAGGCTAAAAATAAGGCCTTACTCTCTACAATTGGAGAGATCCAAGAGCTGAGAGAATTAACGAGCTCTTTAGCATTTTTTGGCTATCTCCCCAACATCCAATAGCTATCACCGTTAATGACCATCACTATTCATTTTCACCACCGATGTCATTGTTAACAATCATCACCACCTGTATCTAGGCAATTTTGTATTTTGTTTAGATGGGGATAATCAGCTCTTAGGTTTTTTTTCTTTCTTTTAATGATTGTAGCTCCTCGAGCATTAGTGGGCTGATAGTCCCCTTAAGGACTTGTAATTTTGACTTATATTAACGCGTAGACCCCTTTGTGAGTTTCAACTTAAAAAAAAAAAAAATAAGAGCACCACCATCTCAAGACTCTTGCCAAGATCTAGTTATATTGTTGGGTTATTAATGGTTTGCTTGTAAACATTAGAATTATATAATACCTACAATTGAAATAGGAGCATGTTGTTGGGTATTGATTGTGAGTTGGTTGATACCTAATTTATGTAATCCCTACAAAATTCAATATTTATTCTTAAATAATCACTTCTTCTTTAACTGTGAAGAAGGTAGGATTTTTGTACCTCCTACAATGTAGTTGATTTTTCAATTTGGTCAGACCTTATGATTTTCCCCCTTTATGATCTTTCCATATAAAAAAAATTTTGATCTCTTATAAATTTTATATATGCATAATGATTTTTTGTTAAAAGCTAAAACATACATCTTCTACTCTACCAACACAAATTTTCTAGCACATAACAATGAGAAAGTGTTTGGAAGACTCATTATATTGAAAAATAGTTTGGTAGATGAAACTGGTATCATTAATTCTAACATAATAAAAAATATTATTGCTTTCATTAATTATAAAATAATCTTAATTTTATTGTCAACCAATATTTTAAAATTTTAATAAAAGAATAACACGAAGGGACTCCACCCTTAAGAAAAAAAATGATAAAGAAAACCATTTAGTCCGCCTCTAAGTACTGTGGTGCAAGTTTGGAGCATTGTGATGCTCAAAGCACTACTATTAAAACAAGTTTTCACAACACTTTTTTTACCATATAGCAACGATTAAAACATCTAATATATTCTTAGCAGCGGTTCATAAATCGCTGCACATCCACCGTATTTATTATCACTGCAAATGGTTTATACCTATGAATCTGGAAATGGGTCTTTAGCAGGGGTTATATATAATTGGTTTTATGTGGGAGTACAGCTACTCGATTGATGAAGAGTAGCTGGCCACAGATGTACTTGTGAGCTAGGGTATGGGCTGGAGAAGGAGGCCAGTGGAGACGTATGCTAGCTGTGAGACGTACATGAGCCTGAGACGGATGTGAGCCTCGGAGATGTAGGCGAGCCTGAGACGGACGCTAGCCTGGTAGATGTACGTACTCGAGCCTAAGACAGACACCAAATCAGCTCGGGAGCTAGGGCACGGGTGATGAGAAATCAAGGGAGATTATGAAGGGAAGGAATTCACACGAGAGATTAATAAGGGATTGCGGGAGATTGTTACAAACTACAGTTTATAACGCTTCTAAAAATATCTTTTAGCAACGGCTATAAAATGATGCTATGAAATGCTATCAAAAATTTAATTTTTTTAGTAGTGAACCTTTGATCCTAATCCTCAAAATTTTTATCTTATTAGGAAAATAAAAAAGTCTCTTGCTACTATTAATTATTATATTTCTCATGTTTACCGTGAAGCTAACGCTTGCGCTGACTGGTTAGCTAACTATGGGTGTCAGCTTGAAAGGCATCAAGAGTTTAATACTTCTAATTTAAAATAGGATTTTTGTACCTCCTACATTGTAGTTGATTTTTCAATTCGGTCAGACCTTATGATTTTTCCCCCTTTCTGATCTTTCCATATAAAAAATTTTTGTTCTCTTATAAATTTTATATATGCATAATGATTTTTTGTTAAAAGCTAAAACATACATCTTCTACTCTTCCAACACAAATTTTCTAGCACATAATAATGAGAAAGTGTTTGGAAGACTCATTGTATTGAAAAATAGTTTGGTAGATGAAACTGGTATCATTAATTCTAACATAATAAAAAATATTATTGCTTTCATTAATTATAAAATAATCTTAATTTTATTGTCAACAAATATTTTAAAATTTTAATAAAAGAATAACACAAAGTGACTCCACCCTTAAGAAAAAAAATGATAAAGAAAACCGTTTAGTCCGCCTCTAAGTACTGCGGTGTAAGTTTGGAGCATTTTGATGCTCAAAGCACTACTATTAAAACAAGTTTTCTCAACACTTTTTTTACCATATAGAACGATTAAAACATCTACTATATTCTTAGCAGCGGTTCATAAATCGCTGCACATCCACCGTATTTATTATCACTGCAAATGACTTCCGCAGGCTATTTAAACCAATGTATTAGATCTAGTTTCTGACAACATTTCTTGTAGCAACAGTTTTAAACGCTACAAATTTGCTACATTACAACAGTGGTTTTAACACCTATGAATCTGGAAATGGGTCTTTAGCAGGGGTATATATAATCGGTTTTATGTGGGAGTACAGCTATTCGATTAATGAAGAGTAGCTGGCCACAGATGTACTTGTGAGCTAGGGTATGGGCTGGAGAAGGAGGCCAGTGGAGACGTATGCTAGCTGTGAGACGTACATGAGCCTGAGACGGATGTGAGCCTCGGAGATGTAGGCGAGCCTGAGACGGACGCTAGCCTGGGAGATGTATGTACTCGATCCTAAGACAGACGCCAAATCAGCTCGGGAGCTAGGGCACGGGTGATGAGAAATTAAGGGAGATTATGAAGGGAAGGAATTCACATGAGAGATTAATAAGGGATTGCGGGAGATTGTTACAAACTACAGTTTATAACGCTTCTAAAAATATCATTTAGCAACGGCTATAAAATGATGCTATGAAATGCTATCAAAAATTCAATTTTTTTAGTAGTGAACCTTTGATCCTAATCCATCTGACAATGTCACGGTGCTCAAACCCGTACGTAGCGCTACGACACTACATAACACTGCGGGGCTTGAATCTAGAGCGTTGCGGCCCTCCGCTCTCTGTCGTTTTTCCCAACTAATTACTTTGCAACACTATGATGCTCAGGAAGATAACGACGGGACGCTCAAGTACACAGCTCCTGCACCCAATTCCAAGCAAGAGGAGGACCCCCCATACCCCGTAGTGAGCACGACAAATTGAATTGAGGTCCTAAGTAACAAAATAACATGATTGATCGAGACAATCAAATTCCACACAGACTAACACACACACATCAAGCTCACAATTATATTGTACAATTATGCAGAAAGGTCGAGATTAATTACTTAATTGCAGTTCGATGAAATTTGATGGCTCAAAGTCGTTAAATTACTTCAAACATAGATTAATCAAAATGAAGTCAATAAACTAATAATGAATAATATTGAATGTGTAAATTTCTTAACATCCACAACAACAACAACAACATCAAGCCTTTATCCCACTATAAATTTCTTAACATCTGATCAAATATAAATCTCAACGTAAATTTGGATCTTAAAGTACCTAGAAAAATAAATTAATAACTTTAAAAAATTCTTTTCGAGTTGTACTAGGTGTTTAGTTGTGCATAATTGTTTTTTACCTTTAGCTACGGTGATGATTATATGTCAAAACTGACCTTTTTGAGATATTTTTTTCCTAAAGGAATTATTACATAATGAATGGGTAATTTCCTAAGTCTGCTCTCTCTTCTTCTTTTTTTCTTTCTTCTACACCAAAAAACTTTCAATATCTGCTCATCACAGGTCGCACGTTCACAGACGTGAAGGGAGCGCCAGAAGCTCAATGTAAATTATATATTATATTCTTCTAAAGTCTATGAAGAATTGTCCTATATATGCCATTGTCATAACTGTGAAGCTATATATAAGAGGCGATAAAGGAAGTCTCAGCAGTACCAACCCCAAAGACATTGCTCTTCAGTTCCGACCAAGCTTGAATTGGGAGGAATTGAAGATGGCTTTGAGGGGAGTTCTGCTGCTTCTTTTTGGTGTGTTATTGTGCGTTAACGTTGATGGCTTACAAGCAGTACAAGTAGTAGGGAATGGGACGCTCCAATTAGGGTATTATCGCACTACTTGCCCTCAGGCAGAGAGCATAGTGAAAGAGGAGGTTGCCAAGGCTTTGAGCACCAATTACGGCCTTGCAGCTGGTCTTGTTAGAATGCATTTTCATGATTGTTTTGTCAGGGTAAGCATTATAATAACTTTTTATTTTTCATATTGTTTTGCATAAATATTATTCTTTCTTCTTAAAGTTTACAAATTTACTTGAGAGTATTGGTCAGGGTTGTGATGGCTCAGTTTTAATTGATTCAACGTCTAATAATGTGGCGGAGAAAGACGCCCCACCAAACAATCCAAGCTTGCGGGGTTTTGAAGTGATTGACAGTGCAAAGGCTCGTCTTGAATCTCTCTGTAGTAAAGTTGTATCTTGTGCTGACATCCTCGCTTTTGCTGCTAGAGATAGTGTTCAATTTGTAAGAGATAACATCAACTTATTATATATTCATTCATTATCTTCAATTTTAGTTCCCACTTCAAGTCAAATGGTTTTGCGTTATAATCTCGTGCTATGAACATTAAATCTGTACATTTTATTGTAGAGTGGAGGGCTCCCTTATCAAGTCCCAGCTGGCCGTAAGGATGGGCGAATCTCTCAAGCTACTGAGACTATAAGCCTTCCTCCTCCTACCTCCAACCTAAGCCAACTAACACAGATGTTTGCCAATAAAGGACTTAACCAAGGAGAGATGGTAACCCTCTCAGGTAATGTTGTTAAACATGAGCTATGAGAACTGAGCCGAATGCCCATAAAAAATTAAACACATCTAAGGATTAATTTCAAATAAAAATGATCATGATCTCAATATTGTTAATTGAGTAATATTTTATTCATAATAAAACTATGAATAAAGCCATTTTCAATCCCTAATATGTATCAAGTTTAAATTTTCAACTTAGTTAATTTGGAGTCAACTCAAAATCTAGCTTCCAATAAATATAAAAGTAATGTGCCACATGTGAATTTCCGTATAGTAAATATTTCTAAGAGAACTATAAAATTGGGTATAGAAAATGAATTATATGTAAAAAAACACATTGATATTTAAAAAATATTTGATTTTATACCTAATGTAATTGCCCCCTTCTATAAAAAAAAATTAGATGATTCTTTAAGTAATTTGTCCCCCTGAATCTATTGTTTTGTTTTTATTACAAGAATTTTTAGGCAACTGCGCCCAGTAAAAGTTTTAAAATACTATGATCTTTAGGAAATTACCCCCAGCATAATTAAACACATTGTGTAGAGGTCGAACCTCGTCAGGGGGCGCTGCCCCCTTAGACCCCCGACATATCTACCAACAGTTACTTATAAGTTTGCCCTCCGCAGAAAATTATGGCTGGTTTCGCCTCTGCATAGGTGAGACATTTTGACAAACCAATTACATTTGAACGAATTACAAAGTGAACAAGCTGGTTTACAATTATGACGATAATGATGATCGATGTTGTATAGTGAAAGTCAGTGTTATGGAGATCATACTAATTCTAATTATTTTCATCATAACATAGGAGCACATACTATTGGACGCTCCCATTGTTCGTCCTTTAGCAAGCGGTTGTACAACTTCAATACTACAGTGAGTCAGGATCCCAGTCTTGATCCCGCATATGCCACACAACTAAAACAACAATGCCCGAACAGCAGTGTTAGTGCCAACTTGACCGTGCCCATGGATCCGCGCACCCCGAACCTGCTGGACACCAGCTACTACAGTGGCATACTAGCCAACCGTGGGCTCTTTACCTCTGATCAGACTCTGTTGTCGAACGCTTCCACTGCTGCATTGGTGCAGCAAAATGCACGTAATTGGTGGCTATTTCAGAGCAAGTTTGCGGCAGCTATAATCAAAATGGGGCAGATTGATGTGCTTACTGGAAGTCAAGGAGAGATACGGGCCAATTGCAGGAGGATCAACTGATCGATGCCATTTCTATTTGCATGTTTGGCTTTGTTGTGTGTTTAACCGGCATTATTATTTGATTATTATCATATTCTTGCAATGATTCTTTACTCAATTTATTTTATTTGTGAACGTTACTTACTGAAGCTATATGATTTTGTATTGTTTTGATGCCATATTAATAAAGTTTTGATCAAATTGATGTGTTCACTGGAGTTTTTACAGTAGACCAATCGAACGTGAAGGCCTTGCATATGCCTAGGCAAAGGAGAGACACTTGTAACCCAATTTAATTTTTATAAATTTTTATAAAGTAGAACGAATAATGAAGAGAAGTTAAGACTCTGAACGTGCCAAAGCGCGTATATGTGCTTAAATTTTGAGTTAGGATATTCTCATTTAAATGTAGAATGAGGATTTAATTCATTGATTTTATTTATGATGAGTGCACTATATGAATTTATTAATAATAATATGTTATAATAATCTTAAAAAATTAATGACTAAATATTTATGATGCGATTTAAATCAGAATATTCTGATTTAAAATTTTCTCTAAATTTAGAATTTCTAGTCACAATATATCCTATATATATATAAAAAAATCAAAGTATCAAAATTTGAGAAATTAGAAATTTATATCAATCAAAGTATCAAAAAATGACCAATAAAAATTCAGTTAAAGTAATAAAGGAAATTTTATATGTAGTTGATAAAAAAATCCATTTAAACAATTAAGGTGGCAAATTGGTTACTTGGTATTAGATCCAGATTTGTCTCTAGGCTTCGTTAAAACCTTACTAGTAAGATTTATAAGGATCCACATAACAGAGAACAAAGATAAATAGAAGAAGAAGAAAAACAAAAAGAAATTTCTTTAGAAAAAGAAGCCTTGAGAGAATATAGCTGGTGCCGAAAATTCTCTATGGCCTTTGTGTTAAAAAAATTCCATTTGCACTTTATTTATTGGTTTTATGGGGCTATTGAAAATGCTATACTTCGCACCTCTTAGAAATTGTATAAAAAGTACAAGACAAGATCCTTGCATACATGAAGTTATTGTTAGATGTGTGTGGAATCTAATAGTGTCGATCTTTGGACCTCAATTTCATCGATACCTGAGATTTGCGATATTATATTTCCTGGTTGGAGGTAGACAAAGCAGAGTGGAGCGCTACGATGCTTCAGAGGTGCTATTAGACAGACTAGAGACTAAGAGTTGAGCATCGCGAGGCTCCAAACTTGACGACGTGACACTGTGAGACGGGCTTGACAATTTCTTTCTTGTTTTTTATGAAGGGTTGTGCCCTTGATGGTTTAAATGTATTTCTTTTTATTTGTTCATTTGAAAGAATAGTAAAGAGAGAAGAGAGACAAGGAGAGATTGAGAGAGAAGAGAGATCTATTCTTTTTATTTGTTCAATTTCTATTTCTTGTTTATTTCCCTATGTGATTTTACTTTCCCAATAGTTATATATATGGTTAAAATTAACTTTAACGAGTACACGCGAGCAACCTTTTTGATAGGCCCTTAATAGAGTTGTTAAAAAGTCGTTGATTTATAGGTGAAGTCTTTAGTCCTCTAATACATTCTTTAGCTTTTTGATGAATTAAAATCATGCCAACATTGGCTAGACATTAATGAGCAGTTCTTGTCCTTAAGCGAGTGACGTCTGAGTTTTTTTTTTTTGGGGAAAAGTAAGTGCGTAGCTCAATTCGATTAATAAAAAATAATTACAAGTAAAAAAGAAGAATTACATGGAGGAAAAGCAAAAATGTGTATAAAATACAAACAAAAGGTTTCAAAGTAACAGAATCTGTGAACTAAAGGTGACAACACCTAAAAAAAGGCTCAGCATGTGGATTGCATCCATCCAGGTCATAAGAAATCCCCGGTTGTAAAAGAAGCCATCCAAGGGGAGCCTAGTTGCTAAGAGTCGCCATCCAGGGGAGAGGTTAGCAATCCACTCATCCTCGCCCCAAAATACCAACCTCAAAGCTAAAAAACTTTGATCAAGAGTAGTAAAATCAGCCCCAAAACCGTGAGAGAGAAAATAAGAAATCCACAGAGTATAAGAGATCAAGCAAAAATCCAGCCTATACAAAAGCACAATAGCAACAACAATGAAACCAACCAAAACACAGGGATGACCAACCAAAGAAAGCAGTCGGGCAGCATAGCATAAGCTAAATCCCCTCCAAAATAAAACTTTTAAATTTCTCTCAATTCAGAAATAAACCATCGTTCATATTAAAAAGTTAGATATTACCTTGTAAGCTCCAAGTTTTCTTGATAGCTGCTAGGAGCACCTCATAATAAGGCCTCCTTCCAATCGAATACCCTAACAGAGATAGCGACCATTCATCTGCAGCAGCATCCATTTTGGCTTTGGGAAAACAATGACTTCATCTTAGGTGTGGAGGAATGAGATGGGTAGATCTTTGGATCGGAGAAGAAGCAGGGTTGGTTAACAATGTTCGACCAGTCACGCTGAGGGTTAAGACAAGGGGGAACAGGGGTTGAGGAGGTTAAGGGAGGGAAGTCTTGGATGTTAAGGGAGGAGCCCATGGAGAGGGAGTGCCCCTCAGGGCAGGAAGATGGGGGAAAAATAGGGCGGAGAGGACGAAAATGGAGAGGCGGCTAGGGCAGTAAAGAAAACCCTAGCAGAGCAAAGTTGAGGTGTGCTTTTTGAACTCTCTTTTTTTCGTGATGTCTGAGTTAGTCCTTGAGCTTGACGATGAAGTCTCTAATTCTATATATTGAGCAATTTTGGACCTTAAAGTCGAGGCAATCTTTACTCACAAGTTCCTCGAGCCATGTAGCTCAATCTAACTTTTAGCTAGAGGAAAGATTATCCTACGATAACACATGAAGAGTGGGGTGGTTTCTTTATACGTATTACTTTTTCTTGCTTATAAATTCTTTGTCAGTGCTAAAGGAAGTGGATAGTGAAAGTTACAAAGAAGGGTGAGTTCCCTTATACATTTCATGATAAGAGAGTCGTACTTTCACTTGGATCAAATCAAGTTAGGTTCAGGACCTCCTATGTGCATGAGGTGATAGATGTTGTAAATTTTATAGTCTCATCTCCTCTCTAATTGTGTTGAATTCATTCACAAGTATCATTACTTTGATTTCATATATGAAGGAAAAAATTGGATGGATCTTCCACCACACACACACACACACACACACACACACACACATATATATATATATAATGTTTCTAATTTTCTTCCAAACATGTGGAGGCGGGGTTTGAAGAAAATGTTTATCATCATGAAGTTAGAAATTGGATGGAGAGTAAGAAAAAGGCACTCCACATTTCCTTGGGAGAATGTTTGCCTCTAACCTCATGGAGTATACTTTTACATTACTTTCGTCTAACTCAAATGTTTGACCTTATTTGTTAAATAGTACAACTTCTTTGAAGCTATAGGGAGGAACCTCTATTAAATGACCTACATGTTAGGAATAAATACAACATGACAAAAAACAAACAAAAAAGAGAAAATGCTGCGGAAAAGAAAGAACATCATGATTTAATGCGTAAAAACTCAAAATTGGGAAAAACCATGAAGCCACACTACACCAAGAAATCTACTATGAAAATGGATAGGAATTGTATAGATTGCTTTCTCTCTCACATTCTCTTTGTCTCTCTTCACCCTTCACAAAAAATGGTTTACACATAGCTGATAAAGGAACTGTCATAAACCTCCCTAAGAGATGCAACCCTTCATGTTAAACATGAAAAATGAGAAAAAAATTGCTCATCTTGACTCATATATAGTGATGCGGAGTTGAGGTTTGGAGTACCACAATGCTCCACTCTCTATCTCTACCTTGACTAGCAGTGTTGTAGCACTAGGGTTTGGAGCGTTGGGATTCTTTTGCTCTCATTCTCGAACCAGCACGAGTGTGTAGCACCATAGTGCTAGAGTATAAAGTGTTGCAGTGTTGTATAGTTGTATAACTCTCAAACTCAAAGTAGAGGAAGCCCGCAACAACCCCTTAGCAAGTTCAGCCGACTACATTGAGGTCTAAGTCAATAGTATAACCTGATTAATGTACAAAATTAAATTCCACACAGAACTAACACACTATTAATAAATTAGGCTTTCACAATATTTTTTTGATCTAATATAGTGGTTTAAACACCTACTAAAATATTTATGGCGGTTTAAAAATCGCTATAAATCTATTGTATTTGCGTTCGATGGAAAGACTTTTGTAGCAATTTCATGAGTGCTATTGTAGGAAAGCTCTAGTAGTACTTTTAGTATGGTTTAAAAGTGCAGCTAAAGGGCAGCATAGATTAAAAAATAATATTGCCAAAACTAAAAAAGAAAATGGACTTTTTGTTTTCATAGAGGAAGCTTGAGTCACATCTATGGCTAAAATTGGACCTTCAAAATCTACTATAATTGAATTATCCATATTCAACCTTAAAAATAAGTAAATTAACCTTCGATACAAATGATATAAATCATTTACGTACAAATATTAGGACACCGACCATTTAAAGAAATAAATAGCAAATAAATAAGAGAAACGATGTTGAAAACTTCTCAAATGTTTAAAAGATGGTAACTTTAGCTAAATGGAAAAGTATATTATATTTTATAAGTAAAAAACAATTAATACATGTATACCTTATCCTCTTCATCATTACATGATGCTAACTTTTAGCGAACAATACTCTTTAACAAACATATAGAAAGCATATTAAGAATGGTAACATTAGCTAAATGGAAAAGTCTATTAGATTTTGTAAGAAAAAAAATAATACATGTGTACCGTATCCTCTTCATCATTACATGCGGCCAACTTTTTAGCGAACAATATTCTTTAACAAGCACATAGAAACTTTTTCGTTCACTTTATGTAATCAAAGTTTGTACGAAAGTTTATGTAATTTTTGTATTGCGTTTATTCTATCATTTGTCTTTTTATTTTAATTTAAAATTTGATTTTATGTTAGTGTTGATAAGAAAACTTTACTTGAAATTTCAAA